TGAGAAGGAGGAAAAGGGGGTGGGGGTAATGTGAGAGGGATAGGGAGGGGGAAGGGGGGGCTAAGAGAAGGAGGAAAGGGGGTGGGGGGTGGGGGGTAGTGAGAAGGGAGGGAAGGGGGTGGGGGGTGGGGGGTAGTGAGAGGGGGGAAGGGGGGTATGGGGGATGGGGGTAGTTGTGAGAGGGGGTAGGGGGATGCTAATGAGGAAGGAGGAAAAGGGGGTGGGGGTAGGGGGGTGGGGTATGAGAGGGAGTAATAGAGGAGGTGGGGGGGGGTAGGGTGGAGGGAAGGGGGTGGGGAGGGTAATGATAGGGAGTGGAAGAGGGGGTGTGGGGGTTGATAAAGAGAGGGAGAGAAAGGGGGGTGTTTGGTTGGGGTGAAGTAATTTTTGTTTATTGTAATACTGTCTGCGGATACCAGGTGGGGATGTCTGTAGGATATCCTGTATTTGTTGAGGGATTCATTTGTCTGTTTGTTTGTCTGGCTGGCATCTAAATTGTCTGGCTGTTTGTCTATATGTCCTGCCCTGTCTCTCTGGTCTGCATTTTATATCTACATACACCTATTTACCATTACCTCAATATCTAATATAATTCATATCTATCTTCTTACCATGTTATATCTATTTATCTATCTATCTATCCTTTATCTATCTAATCTATTCTATATATATATATATATTATATATTTATAATATATATATTTTATTATATATATTATATTATATCTTACCTTATACTATTTACATATACAGTATCATGTCTGTCTGGTATATGTAGTCTGGGTCTAGCCATCTAATCTTATCTCTATCATCTTATCCTCTATACATAGTATAATACTTCATCTTTACTATACTCTTTCTCTTTTTCTGGTGTGTGTGTGATGTGTGTGTGTTGATCGTGTGTTGTGTAGATATATATGATGATAGATGCGCTGCGCGCGTCTTAGACGGTAGCGAGGTCCGTTAGTGACGTAGTATGCGCGTAGTGCGTGCGTATGTTGTTTATGTGTGATGTGACTAGGATGAATTAATAGAACGAGTGAAATGGTATCCTCAGTGAGACTGCAATGAATAATTGAGCAATGGGAGTCGATTAGTGTATTAATTAGTGGTGGTTTATATTAGAGGGAAGGGTTGAGTAAGAGAAGAAAGAGATTTAATGAAGAAGCGGATAAATTAATTAACGAATTATTGATAATAAATTTGAATTGATATAAGGAATGATTATAGGAACGAACTTAGCGTAGAAAGGGATTATCAAATAGTTAATGGATTAAAATCAACAACAATTAATTTGTAATATTGAGTTGGATAAATATGACTATAATTCGGTAAATGATATGGACCTGAATATTTAAGCTGACTCTATAAATTACGTACCATAGTCTAAACCGGCTAAACATAGTCAATTATGTATATGCTTCACGAACAAATATAAATGTATTCAGATTATCATACACACAAAAAAAAGGATTTATGTTCACATACAACACGACACAACACATATTAACAATAAAAATGTTATGTCCTATACCACAATATCAACACACGAGCAAACAAAACCAAAAAAGTTTGTGCATAACAGAGTACAAATCAACGCACACGCAAAACAATCAAAGATAAAGGATTATGTTAATACACAAACAGAAACCAAAAACACACACGCAATCAAAATAGTTATGCCATACACAATACAAACACACAAACATAACACCAAACAAAAGTTATGCTACACAAAAGAACAACACACACAAAAGACAAACAAAAAAAAAAAAAAGTTTACAAGCAAGCAATAAATCATTAAATACTGAATACTGGATCAATCGAACGACCCATTAAAGGCCCTTGCTAACGGGTCGTTGACCTTTTCCTTAAAAGGTATGGTATGATTAGAGCGATAACATACTACTAACAAATATGTCAATCAATACGATGGAATGATATATTTAATATGATAGTGATTTTAATTTTTTTTATGATTATGATGACGATATGAAAGAGAGGGTTATTTGTTTTTTGTTTTTGTATGTTTTGTGATAATGAATAGACTGAGGGATGATATGATACGATGATGATGGTATTTTATTATCACTAACTGATTATATGTATTGATTGTGTTATAACAACAATATACATTATAATGACACAATATAAAAAACAGTAGATATAGTCATACATGATACTTAACATTAGAAATAAATAATTAATATTAAATTCAATAAACATAAATTTAACGAAAAACTATAACATAAATCAAAAAAACATCCATGCCAATATTATTTGATCTTTACAGCACCAACGAATCCTTCGGATCTAAAGTGACAAATAAATTGATAAACTAATCATAAAAAATAACAATAATACAAAAACAAATAAATGAATGAACTAATCAAAAAAAAAAAAAACAGATATGAAACCCTAAAAGCAAACCGGATGAAAAAATGACAAATGAAAACACTAACAATATAACAAAAAGTAAAAAAGAAGCAAAAACAACACAACAGCAATAACAGACAAAACAATAATAAACAAAATCAAGAAAACAACCAGAGAAGTGCCACAAGCACAGATAACATAACAACAAAAATATAAACTTACAATTATTAATATAGCATAAAGATACCAATTATATATTAAACAATAAAAACTAAACCGATAAGATGAATTTACACAACGCTAATATACTAAACAAAAACAGAAAAAAACAGATTACAAAGATAACAATGACAAACAAAACAAAGCGCATGAAATCGAAACAACTAGCAATTATACAAGCAAATATCAAAAACATATAGAATACTTTATCAATCAAATACAACATTGTAATATAAACACAAACAATCATCTAAACAAAAAAACTTAATCACAACACAAACACTCAACAAAAACCCATTACCTCCATTACACATAACCATAAAGCCTAATAACGTCAAAAACACATAATCCAAATCAACAGCCCCAATACATATCTATACAATTATATTATTAGTCATACAACCCAGCCGAGCAGACACACAATATTTTTTTTATAATAGTACTCGGCACTGGTTTAATATTAATCATATCCGCTTATACCTAATATTATAATATTACATATTTATATATTTTGTACATATATATAATATATATATATATAGTATATACTATATATATACTAGTTATGTTTAATATCGATATAAGCATATGATTCTATCATATATAATAATATAAGTATATTATCATAATATATATATTATGATTCATAACAGCTATATCCAGATATATATATACTATTATATACTTATCTGATATATGTGTTTTGTGTGGTGTGGTGGTGGTGTGGTGGTGTGGTGGGTGTGTGAGTGGGTGACTGTGGCTCGTGTGCCTGTGTGTGTGTGTGTGTAATAGCGTCGGTCCTGTGATGTGTGTGTGTGTGGTTGTGTGTTGTGTGGTGTGTGTGTGTGTGTTATACGTCCCATACATGCCCTATACTAGCTCATACATACCACGCACGCTAATCTATAAAATTGCAGAGTCCGGCGACGATGACCGAAGGTTAGGTGACGGTTGTAAGTTAGAAACGCCCACCTCTAATGCACACACACACAACACCACACGCACACACACACCACACACACCACAGCAAGGCACACCCCACAACACCCATACAACACAACACCACATCAACCATCTAGCACACAGGCTCAGCGATACGACAACGCCCCACACTCACAAATGCACCTCGCCTTGTGGCAGCTGCCGTTGACAAGTGTCGTCATGGGCGCTGGCGTTGCCGTCGCCGCCATCGCCGCGCTGTGGGGAAGGTGGCGTGAGATCGCTGCTAGAGGGGCTTAGAGGGGGTTACACATGGGTTATTAACATCACATCTAATATTATTTATTATATATTATTTATAATTTATTTATTTTTTTTAATCTTCGGTTGCGGTTAATATTTATTATGACATTATATTTAATGACTTTTATAATATTACAACATTTAGAATATTTAATTTTTTTATTATTTTTTTATTTTTTTTTTTTTTTAACTAGAAAAATGTTAACTGAATAGTAATTTATTTTATTTTATTATTATATTTATTTTTTTTTTATACTTCTTGAGTTGCGCTATTTGGTATAAGGATATGGTGGTTTCCGGTTTAGAATATTCGCCGCCTCGTGTGGTGTTGGTTGAATAACAAGTTGGTGTTTATTTTTTTTTTAAATGTCCTTCGGTCAAGTAACTCGTTTTGTTTATTGCTGTATGTTTTCTTCCTGAGCAAAGGTTATAGATACAAATACGGTGGTACTGTTATACAATTATCATGTATTGTTGTTTGGTTTTGTTATATAGCTAGGTCGTGGGTGCTTATGATGTATTACATATCACCGATATTTCATATAATACAGTCTTATATATATCCAATCATTTGCACTTATATTTTGCTACAATATCTTTAGCACCATTAGTGTCCTCCGTAATTTTCCATGATGCCGATAAACAAAATAATTAGTTGACAAAGGCATATTTTTCATCGTGTCTCAACCGTTTTTTTACTTGACTTATTTGCAGCCAGGGGAATTAACCACGGTACTTACAAAGGCTCGCATTCCGGGAGGTAAAGAGAGCATGACACAAGCAAATACTCCTTATTGTCCAAGGATACTCTTATTGTTCGCAGGATACAGGATGTTGAGGATGACAGTGTTCGGGTGACATGACAAATCCTACTCCTTGTACATAAACCCCTTGAATGAGAGAACCTGTAGGCTATATTTACGAAATTCTTACATTTGGAAAAAAAAATCTTATAGGATTGATTTTGATAAACATTTACGGATGAGATTATAACAATGGGAATAATTTTTTACATATTTTTACATACTACGGTTGGAAACTTAAAAAGAAAGTGTCATTTGCTGATTCATACCTACAGTGACCTTCAGGCATGAGAAATCAAAGTGCCTTAAGCAATTCCGATGATTGCTCATACTTATTGCATTCAGTACACAAAGGCTCAT